GTGGCTCTTAAGCCGGACTACATGAAACTAAGTCTTAATAATTTGTTGTTTTAGATTCCGGTATATGAAAGATTAGGGCCATTTTCATCATTAAATAATAAATCCCATAACTGAAGTTGAAACCAATCACAAATTCTACCTGAACAATCAACACAGTTCTCACGAACTGGCACGTCCTCCAACAAAGGTCGGCCTTAAAAAAAAAAAAAATTGTTATTTTCCCGTTAAGTATATCATATATCCTGCCGGAAAAGCATAACTTTCCCTTGCTTACGTTTAGGAGTGAAAACTTTACGTTCAAATCCGAAAGTATATTTTGTGAAATTTTAAGTGCGTTTGAAAACTTTCTGAACATGACTTACCAAGGATTCGTTGAAACAGTAATCAATTTAACAGGTTACTCTTGACGGTCATTCTCAAAAAAATTACCACAATTAGTATTGTCTCTGGCGATAGCCACGACTTGACGAGGCATTGATGTATAGAACATGTGTGCACGCAGCTCTGTCTGCTACTTATGATTCAGCAGAAGGTTGAATCCAATTAGTATTGACAAAACTACTAATAATTGGGGAGAATTTTTTCAGGAGGCACACTATTCTGTGATAGTAAACTTAACTAAAAATAATAATAAGAAGAAAAAAAAACAAAAGAAAACAACTAATATCTAACTGAAACCTGTAAAAGAACCTATTTTCCCGCTTACAACTTCCCACAGCTAGCGACAGAATTTCTGTTGTTTTGCTATTTATTTTCATGTAGTAGCGCCTATTGTACCCGAAATAACTATAAGTTTGTCTGAGAAGATCTCCTCTTTCAGATTGTGGTCAAACGTTTCGAGATCTCATTAAAACTATTTTACCACGTATCCTTCAAGCTTTACAAGTTTTCAGGAGAGCCTATTGTTGGACCTGAAATAAAAATGCAGAAAATAGTCAACGAGGCCAGCGGCTCAATGTATTTAAGCTGTCCTAAAGTGTTCTAATTGAAGCCAACAATTTCATTAAATTCTCCGCTTCTCGATATTGCTTTCTGAGCTCATTAAATTTGTTTTACTCAAAGTTTTCAAATGCAAACGACCAGAGGTCAATTTTGCTTCCGATCTTTAAATATTCACAAAATGCAGTTATTTCGAATCTAAGAAACGTTTAAAGCCACATGGAATAATACTTCCAAAAGAAACATTGCATTATCTTTTTGTTTCAGCGAAAACGTCCTCACGTTATATTATAAAATGGCGAGTAAATCTGTCTAATCAAATTAAATTGCGTGAACGCGCTTCATATTCCTATTGTGCACGCTCATGACGTCAGGAAACAAATCCCCCGAGAATTTTTTTTTCTTCGCTATTTTTTACTGTTTCCAAATATCAATACCATAAAAGTATGTTTGAAATATTATTTGCTGTCGATAACGAAAAAAATGTTTAGGAACCTTGGCGATGCCTTCCTAGATTTGTTTGTGAGTCGAACTTTCCGTCACACGAAGCTAGGATGTGGCCAGTTGTAAATTAGCCAATGAAACAGCATCTTTGTTTTTCTTTTAGATTAGAGAATTTTTTTATTCAATCAGGAAATAAAGCTCATTTACACTCGTACGCATGAATTTACCTGCCAGTTTTTTGACCAATCTAACACAAGATCGTTTACAGCGTAGCGAAATGTTTTCCTGAAACAAAATTATCAATGCGCTGAAGCGTAGCAGAGGGAATATTAACCCTTTTAAAACATTTAAACCATCAGGTTAAAAATGTTATAAAACAGTTGGTTAATACGTCAGTTGTGCGTTCATCGAGATATGAAGCACTTGGGAAGTTTGGAGAGCGCTCAAGAAGCTAGAGCGTGCTTCATTTCTCGATGAACGAACGCTGACGTATGAACCAGTTCTTAAATTTATCACGTGTTTTGTTTTGTAGAACCAAGCGAAGGAAGTGATCGAAGATAGCCTTCGTTTATAAGAACCTGAAGTCAACTTCAAGCTCTAAATTCTCTCTAAGATGTGAATTGCTTATCAAAGAGCCAGAATTCACAAACCCATTCCTTGTTGAATACCTCTCATTGTAATTTTTTTGGCGTTCTATGTAGTCTCACTCAGAAACACTGCCAAAAAATGCTTGATGGCAAGGTTTTGTCAAAACTGATTGGACTCGACCTTCTGCTGAGACATAAGTAGCTGACAGAGCTGTGTGGGCACTTGTTCTATGCATCAATGATTCTTCAAGTGGGGGGAGTCAAATACTTCCGTTGACGCCAGAGACAACACTAATGGTATAAAATTTTTCGAGAACGACCGTCAAGAGTGACCCATTAAATTGTTTCCCGTCTCAGCGAATCCTTGGTAAATCATGTCCAAAAATTCTTCAAACGCAGTTGAAATTGCAAATAATATATACCTTAGAATTTTACCGTAAAGTTTCCGCTCAAGGGGCCTGTTTGCATGTGAGGTAAGCCGCCTAGCCGTTTGCACTTTAAGATGTCACAACAATGACGCGTAGTAAAACGTTGCCGAAAAAAAAAGTGATTTATTTTCCTCCAAGATTTTCGCCAATAGCTCGATGCGCCAACCGTTTCTGACAATACAACGCCTTCACTTCGGCACCTCATGTGAATGTAAACATGAAAGAATACGTGTATAGACACATTCTTTAACCCTTCTGCTCTTGTTCCTTAAAATTTTCAAACTTTGTATTGGTATTCTCCTTGGTTCACAATCACGTCTACATACACGATAGCATTTGCATTTATGCCTCTCTCGTTTAGCATTTGATAGCTCAGTTGATATAGCATGTTTCTTGATGAAATTTCACTTATCAATGTTCGCTCATAAAGTGATCTTTTATAAGGTTCGCGGACCGACCCGTTCCGAAAACGCTCGAAATTTTAAAGTGTGGCTCTACCGCGAACGCTGCGTGCATATTTTGTACGCGTTTTGAGCGTATTATACATAGTATCAGTGCTGATCTTGCACTGCATAAACTTCTCTTCTTTTTCCCTTATGCCATGCTAGTTGGAAAAAGAAAAAAAACGAAGGCGGTATTTCAACTTTCACTTTGCTAAACTCTGAAATGAGTTCTGGTTTCGCTCAAGTCCAAGTAAGTTTTCATTACCAAGGAAAAGAACTTTGTGGCTTTGAGAAAGACATTTTACACTTTTTCATCGTTCGCTTTGATAAATTTGCAGTTTCCTAAATTCTAGGAGAAAATTAGCAATAATATTGATAATAATAATGCAATAAAGACAATTTTAAGAGGGTTACGCTTATGAAGGGTAAAATGAGTAAGCAAATTCTCTTTTTTCTGTTTTTACCTTTTTTATCCTATAAAATTATAAAGAGATTAATGATAACTTTTCCGTTTCCGAACATCTATCTTACTTTTGGACATATTTGTTGTTGTGCTTTTTTTTTTTTTTTTGTCGGTGCTATATGTAAAACAAATAACCAGTGATGCCGTTTACATAATCCACTTTTACATTGAAAAGTATTTAAAAAGAGCTATCTCGGTCAATATGCTGCAACGAACAATGAAACATGGCAGACTGAGAAGTTATGAGGAAATTCTGTGCCCAATTTACACCTTTACATGTTTGTCAGATCACCCATAAAAAGCTTTCTTGGCAAAAATTAAAATTAGAAACCACTGTAGGCTTGGAAATCCTCGATAACAGGAGAAGTTCTGCGATCTGCCGGGTTTAATATGGCAACACAATCGCAAGCTATCTATATAAAACAGAAGTAATGTATAATAGTCTTTATTTGTTCACGATATAAGTCACATATCGATCGTAGATTATATTTTTAACGATATAATCGGAAATGGCCTTATCGATAGCACTGAAATAGCAATGTTTAAAAATCACTAAAAAAGTATTAACTGTAAGGTAAGAAAAAACATGTATAAACAGCAGCTAAGGGTATAAATACATTGCAGTTGTAAGTCTTTCTGAATTAATTGAAGAAAATATTCATTTCTGAAATTAAATGTTGTTCACGTTACATGTTTATGATTTTTAACACACCTTATAAAGTCTGGGAAGAATCAAACATTTCTGATACAAACTAGCTAAGATATATTTCATTAAATTTGATAAAATATGGTTCAGTCTATGACTTTGCTACTTAGCTAATCTGCATATTATCATAATTTGGTCCACTGTAATTGAAGGTATTGAAAAAAGTGAACCACAATTTTCTTCCCGGATAAACTACTTTATCGATTGGGCAGATACAAGTGTCATCTTTATGGTACTTTAAACCAGTAATCCACTTTTAAAAATCACTGAGTAATAAATTGAAAAAAATTGGACTAAAATACAAGCAAACTTAATTTTGGAGTATAGGCTAGGGGCTGCGGGAGGCCAGCGGTACATACCCAGCAAAAATCGGTCCATGTACCACCTTTTTATACTTTTATGTCTATTGTCTTGACAAATACGCTCGAAAGTGGTGATAAAAGAGATCGTTTTCTTTAAAGGCCCCTGTTTATTGTCACCCCAAGAAACAGAACCTTTTCTTTAACCCCCACTTTTAGAGCAAAATCTGCATTTCTATCAAAGTTTTGGTCGTATTAGTGATTAAAATAGGTTGACGTGCCCTCAGAGGCATACGTTTTCAAATAGAAAATCATTGGTGTGGCCTAGACTGCGGCCTGGCACCTTTACGGAGTATATTGGACAGCGCTTGCTCTAATAAATACGGCAATGTGCGACATTTGTAAAAGAGCAACACTGGGGTAAATAATTTTCTACTTTATGCTAGTATGGGCATCTCCTATTACTTAAACTTGTTGTATGTTTACTTTCCTGAGTAAGCGTAAAAAAAAAAAAAAAAAAAAAAAAAAAAAGCTAATCTCGAGTACTGTATTGAAAACATACTTTCTTGATCAATGAATGAAGGATAATTGAATTATACCGATGAAAGGTATCCTTTGACCTGTGAATGCTCTACAATACCACTCACAATCGACAAAGAAAAAAAAATAAAGGTTTTCAATCAATATACCACTAAAAAGGAGAAACGAAGTCCACTGGTCTAATTTTCATTTCTGCTGATTTGGGAATGCTTTCCTCTGGAATGGTACCTAACATACTCCAGTAGATTGCCCGCGAGGTCTTATCACCAAAGTAAAGCCCGTTGAGATTTGACCAAACAGCACAATTTCCATACCACCAGCCTCCGCCTATCTTTTCATCACAATTATGAGGATCTCTGTCCCAGGTACCAAAAGAGAGATTCCTATGACGACCGAGGGAATCAGTGATCACAGTCTCATCTGAAAACAAAACAAACCAAAAAAGAAATGAATCAGCATTAGGATCATGCTAACACCTTGGAGGTGCCAAGCTTGATGTTTTTGCAAAACAAACAAACGAACAAACACCAAACAAAAACCAAAGCGAACAAAAACGCAAGCAGAACAAAACTCAATTTAAACAGTAGCTACATACTGCTTCGATTAAAAAGATTTCTCCTAACATAAACGTCATGAATTTTCAATGGCAGATGAAGATAATTGATTAACTATTATTCGAAGAGTAGAAATATCGTGATTTTGTTAATAGCGGGCAAGTCAGAGAGTAAATCAACTATAATATTTTTCTGGAGCTGAGTTCGGTAACTGTATTATCATTGAATTGCAAACTCCAAAGCAAAGTAACATTTTCAACAGAGGAGCTTGGACTCAACCCAGCGAGAGTGGACTAAAATCAGACGGTTAGAGGAACAAACCATTATTCATGTGTTACGTGTGGAAGGGGAGGGAGAGAGGGAGGGGAGAGGAGGAGGGAGAGAGGGCTCTGAACGGATGACGAAAATTATAGATAAATCCAAACGATGAAAGAAAAGGAAGGGTTTACGAACTAGTCTTATTGCCAATGAACAGCCGGTACTTAGCCGTTTCGTTGCCAATCCCAAACCAGCCATACTCAGCGTGAACAGTTTTTCCAGTTTTTATTCCCAGATCTACTCGAAGCATGTTGTTTGTCTTGTTTCGTGTCAGGCGGTTTATTTTATCCAATCCGAGCCAAAATTCACCGGTAAAGTTACCGAAGCCATATTTGTAGTCATCCCAGGTGCGGTTGAAATCAACAGAGCCATCCATTCTCTTCTGAAAGACTGTCCATCCCCCGCCAGAAGTAGTTTGGTCACAAGATACGTTAAAGGCTCCTGAACCATCTGGGTCGATTGTGTAAATACCACTCAGCGTTTGACCGGATTTGTACAGCTCAGCACAGTTTTTAGCTGTTAGAAATAATAAGGAGAAAACAATAATATTAGTAATAATAATAATAATAATAATAATAGTAATGAAACATGAAAATGAGTAAGGGGTGTCAAAACACTACGAGAATAGCGAATCTTATTTACATATCTCGGATGTCCTGTTATATGTCACTTTTTTTGGTACTACGTCTTCCTCTGCTTCTTTCGAGTGGACTGCAGTGTTCTTTTGGGAATTTATTGGGGCTGCACGCGTTGATGGTAGAATTTCGAAAGTCACAAAAAGAGCCAGATGCAGCAAAGCAGAACCTGAAGGAGAGAAGTCATTACGCGGTCTGAAGTCACTCCAGCTATATGTTATAATGCCAGGTTATAGACAGACTGAAATAAACAAGAGGTTGGGAAAAAAACTACAAATATGAGACCATGAAATAATGACAACAAAAGGCTGCAACAACCTGTGTGTGGGGAGGAGGGGGGGGAGGTTGGGAAGGGGGAAAGGGGGGAAGGGGAGAAGGAAGAAGGTATATTATGGTTTTCCAAGATAATTCTCTTCCAATGAACTGCCAACGAAGGGGAGGGGGGGTGGAGGGGGGAGTCATAAGAATATTTCGGAGCCTTATGCTTGTTGGGGGAGGGGGGGGAGGAAATCAGGTAAGTGTCAGCGTGACTCAACTTAAATCCTTAGCATATAAACCCATGACTTAAACAGGTGGTACAACTGAAATGACTGCTTCACTTACAGTCCTATGTTTAAAAAAGGTAAGCATTAGATCTTAGCTCGTAAGTTTCTACACACTGTAAAGTTTACACTCAACGTCCAGATGTTACATACTTATCTCCTCTCGTTTGTTCCTCATTGTAATTCTTCGGGTTTCGTTCGCGGTGTTATTTACAAAGGCTGCAAAAAAAATATAATAAATAAGTAAATAAATAAAATTATAATACAAATAATAAAATAATTTGACAACTTAAACAAAATGAAAAATCAAAACTCTTCATAAAAAGTATAATGGCAAAGACTGATAGGATTTAACTTACTACTAAGTTCACTTAGTCCATTTATTCACCTTCTCTTACTGCACGCCTACTTCGTGCTCCGTCCAAAAACTGACAAAAAAAGCGTGTGAATGTTGTTTTATGATATAGGCGAAGGAAACAAAAAGGAGATAAACCTTTTCAGTTTCAATTTATGAAAGCTTAGAACTTCCGTTTGTACTTGATTGAAATAGAAACTTTACTATTTTATTGCCAATTTCCGACAAAGGGTCGTAATTAGACGCACCTTTGTTTTATAGTTGGTCTTTCGTCAGCCTTTTGCGGAGTTCACGAGAACTTGTACGTTTATTATATTACCGGAATCTAACTTGGCGTCAGTTCGGCTAGTGTTAGGAAATCAGCTAGCCTTGCACAATTATCTGAATTCCACCTTGTTTTGGCATTTCCTGTTCAACAGGAAATAAGTAACAACCGTCAACACTTTATCCTATAAATGTGAAACATGTGCTAACATGTCATTGAAATCCAAGAAAAAGATTACTCTCACGGATGAGCGGCACTTACAGTAATTGCACAAAAGAAGTTCGACTCGAACTTGTGACTTCCAGATACTAGTTAAGTCCTGTTACCAGCTAAACGAGGAAGCGAGATGTCGGGAGCGCTCCCAATACATGTGATCGAGCAAAGATAATAGAGTAGTCATTACATAATTTGTCTAGGGCCCAAAAGTGATAAATATTAGTTCGTCACTTGCACCAATAATTCTCCATGTCACATAGCAAAAATATTTCTTCTGATACAGTACGTTACTGAGATAACCAGGAGCAATCGAACCGTTTCATCAATCAAAAGTTGACACTTACAAATTTTATTTGTTATCATGCAGTTGTGGATTACAAACTCTTGACTGTGGATGACAAGGACTGGCCATGTTTTCACAAGTATTTCTTCAAGTGGCTTAGCGAATGGCCAACGTCAGATCGGAAATTTCGTGAAAACAGTTGCTTTTCTAACTTGCATAAGATCAAAGATCTTATGCAAGGCGAAGTTAAGTTGTGAGTTTGCGCACTGAGCTCTTCCAGTTTGATAATTACGGGATCAATTCCTTCTTGTTCCCCATCAGAGAAAGGCGCGAATTTCTAACTATCTTTGTCTTGTAATTTTTCCACAGATATCATGTTGCTTTCGATTCCTATGCATTTTCTTTCCTTCGTTATTTGTATCTGATAAGTGAATAAAGGGGGTAAATTTCTAGAGAAACTGTAGTGCTGCGTCGGTGGGAGAGTATAGCAGGTAATTTAGTGTTAACAACTGAGTTGAATTGGCCACCGTAAAGGGTAAAAAAGCTGGGGTTTCGAGCGTTAGTCCTTCGTCAGAGCGATTGGAGGAATTGTGGGTTGTGTGTTGGTTTATATGCAGAAAATGGAGCTAGGCTATTGGTGGGAACATGCTGACGAGAAACAGGAATAAATTAGTTGAATGAAAAGTTGGAAAGTTGCCGCAAAGCTTCTTTTTGATAGAGGTCGCCTTTGTCGGCCGCTTTGATTACAGCGTTAAAGCGACCGACAAAGGCGGTGCAGTTGTTGTTTGGCGGGCCGACCTCTACCAAAAAGAAGCTTCGCGGCAACTTTCCGACACCTCCTTTTATGCTAAAGTCGACAAAGATCTCACTTTAATTAACCAAACCATTGTCAAAAATACGATTTACGATCTTATAGCTAAACAACAATTGCCGGCCACTGAGTCTGACCTTAAGACGTTCATTCCATAACCAATTGTTACATATTCCACCACGGGAAAGATAGAACCATCTATAATTGGCCTCGATCCCAACGTAGTCTTTTTTTCTTTTCTTTTCTTTCTTTTTTTTTTTTTTTTTTTTTTCTTTTTTTTTCATCGGAAGGGGTCTTGACTTTATTGATTTCCATCGACAAGTCAGATGAAATTTTCTTCATTACAAGATGTTTAACATTTGCCTCGTAAATTTAACTGGTTGCTGACAGCTTGAATTCACAGATTTTCTGAGGCCACACAAAATGCAATAACCAGCTGCACTCCACTTGTATTTCTTTAGATATGGCCTATTAAAGTCGCGTTTTTTAGAAAACTGATAGACAAAGAACTAAGTTTGGCGGCGTATTCGGTGATGCATGAAATTGTCTCCCTAAGTCAGTAGGGGCAACTCAAACTATCGGATTGTAGTATTTCCTACAGTGGTCGATTTAACTCAGAGTCTCTTACTGAAAACCAAAGTGGAATCCCAATATGTCTTTGAATTATTATAGAACTATTTCCTCTTTCTATTCAGACTTCATGTTTAACTAAAGACCTATAATTCAAAGCGCTTGACGCCCGTTTGTCCCAATGAAATAGCAGAAAATAATCCTCAGATCTAACAGCACTAAGCCAACCCCAAACAAGAAATCACGCTTTGTCTTTCCCGTTGCAAAACGATGCAACAATTGATTTCAGGGTTGTAGGCATCACCATGCTTTTGGTAGCAACATGACGGCAAGCAACTTTTTTTTAGTGAAAAAATGGAGTATAAAGGACTTAACAATTGGTTTTTAAATCTTAGACCAAACGAATTTCGGCACAATGGACGATAAATCAGCAAAATATTCACGTGATACTTATTAGAGAGCCAAATTGAAAAACTGACTTTAGCTGTTGACCTAGCTTACCATTGACTTGACTTTGACTCGTCATCCCCGTTTCCCCAACGATAAGCGAATTCAAAACTGAAATTGCTCATTTTAAAATAATCCTTCCGATCCAATGATGAACCCAGCCGACTAAGTTTGGAAATGGAAATTCTACCAAACTTGGAAAAAAGACACTGCATGCTATGACGATCGTATCCGACAAAATTGTTCTTTATTCTAAATCATCACTGAAATATTCTGAAACGACTGGAGTTGGACTTCCGCTCCTTGCGCAGATGCGATCATATAGACTGGATTTTTCGAAGGTTCTTTCTGTTTCCAAGATTGTGTTGCTCACAAACCCCATGGGTTAATGGTTGGTACGACATTCAGCATTTTCAAATGGAAAAACTGCAGCTTTTAAAAACCACGAAATGTTTCACGATAGGCTCTATTTGTGAAAAAGTATCAATGAGCTCTAAGCATCGTTTAGGAGTAAGTTTTATACATTACAGATCGTATACCAAACAGCCAGATGTTACATACCAATTTCTTCTCGAGTGCCTCTCACTATAATGCTTTTGGTTTAAATATTTTGGCGTAATTGTTTGGATATATGCACTTCAAAAAGACTGATAAGACTGACTGAAGTGCATTCACATGTTTTTTGTTTTTTTTTTTGTTTTTTTTTTTTTTTTTTTTTTTTTTTTGTAGAGACAGAGGTCGAGATAGATTTAGATCTCAATTAAGGATTTGTCATTAAATAGCGAAAATGTCGCTTATCTTCCATGTACCGCGGGTGTCTGTTTCGATAAGTCTCAAGAATCACGAAACTGGGTTAAAATGAAGATAAATGCTCTTACTGAGTGTTTTAAAGTACTCATCACATAGTAGACCAGAGGCCTAAAAACGACAAACTATTTTTCGTCATTTCCATGGGTAACTTTGAATGTTGCAATGCAATTATATTTTTTATATACATGACGGTACTGTAATAGAAAGGAGCTATGCGATTCTTATATTAATTGAAGTTGACCCTAAGAAATCTTACTTGTTATCATGTAATTATGAATTAAACTCTCTTAAATTCTGATGACAAGCACTGGCCGTACTTTCACGAAAGAGTTTTTAGGTGGTTTAGCCACTGATATCCGGAATCTCATCGACACAGTCGCTTTCCCCACTCGTTTAAAGGCAAAGCAATTGGAAATATTCAATGCAACTGGAGGGATGCCAACCTCGGGAGATTTTTCTCTTTAGCGTTAACCCCCACCATTGACCTTACCTGATTTGATCAACTAGCACTGATAATACCTTTAATGGCATATGTTTTTTTGTTACACGCAAGCACCATCTGCATCTACTGCCATAACTC